CACCAGCTGTTCCGCTTAAATCACACGTTCCTCATAACAGTTTATTCACATTCTCCATGTCTGCTTTCTAAAGTGTGGCGAACGGCTGTCCAGTGAAGACATGAAAGCTTCAAAACTGCCCCATCACATGGAAGCCAAACACTGGAGCTTTCTGGAGGGAAAAAACATGAACAAGAAGAACAGAAACAATTACGGAGGCCACAACTTCCCCAGATACGTCTGCACAGAGAGACTCCTTCTTAGAGACCAAAGTCATTGCTAGCTCGCTTACTGTGGGTGGAGTTGATTCTGCCCATGACTGAGGACACTGGTATTAACCTTTAGGAGAGGCTGAGGACAAGAAGATGGCATGCGGTTCTTTTTCAGCCAGCGCCATAACCAGACGAACTGAAACAGCAGAGCACGTGGAGGCACAGATGTTAACAAGGATTAATGAGTCAATAGGGTACAAGATCCAGTTTGGCAGGTCTACTGATGCTGACAACAAGGAAACCATGCTTGCCTTGGTCAATATGTATCAGGAGGATGTGCGTGAGAACACGTGATACACACTGCTGTGACAAATCAACACCACAGCCACAGAACTAAACTCGGGAAAACCGAATCGGTCATTTCTTGTCAGCACACACACCCCAGGGACTGGAGTTTCTGGTTTCAGGTTTCTAGACTTTCTTTGACTCAGGTCAAGGAAGCTGCCTCTGAATGTGAGTCTACATACCGTGGTATCCACAGAGAAATGCCAGCTACCCTAACATTTCGCAGACCGTGATTAAAATTGTCCCCACATGAACATCCATGCCCTGCACTCGTGTCTGTATACACAGTCCTGAGGAGATGGAAGCAGTGCACACACACCTTTCCTTACAGGAGGAGATGGCCTCCTAAAGGTACGTCACTGGCCAGTCTCTAATGATAGGAGCTGCTCCAAAGACTTCTTTTAGAAGAACAGACACCACTGGAAGCACGTTTCGATGACACAGAATTGTTCACATGAGATATTCAACCTGCCCAGAGAACTCACCCTGTCACTTCACAGGGGCCGATGACAGCTGTGTTCAAGTTGGCAGGTAAACTGGCTGCATTCAAAGCCCAACTGGAGTTACGGGGCAACAGGCAAACACTAGGATCTGACATCTTTCAAACATTAGCAATGATTTTGAGAGAGGCTGAGCCAGTGGCTTCTTTCTCTGAGCTGATGCACTGTCTTGTCTTAACTGTCAGAGGAGTTTGATCCTTACTATGCAAGCACAAGGTGCTCCTGGACTGGAAAGGAACAGATCTGCCACCCAGTTGCAAATGAGCCAGGTGAATTGACATTGTCTGAGCCAGAAGAGGATCAACTGCACAAGATCGAAAATGACAGTGACCTTAAAATGTCTGAAGGCCAGGCGTGGTGGCACACACCTGTACTCCCAAGCACGCTGGAGGCTGAGGCCAGAGGGTCACTGGGAGTTCAAGGCCAGCACAGACTACATAGCAACATACTATCTCAAAAAAAAAAAAAATGTTTGAGACCACTTCAATCTGTACACATTCTGGACTGACGTGAAGGCAGAACAGTCTGAGGGTACCACGAAAGCCCCGAAAAGCCTGCTTCCATTTCCAGCATCTGATCTTTGTAAAGCAGTTACAGCAACCAAAATGAGATTACAGAGTAGACCAGACTGACAACACACCCCCTGAGAAGGGACCATCCACTTGGGAGAAAACAAGCTCGGGACAGCACTGACTCAGCTGATGGTGAGCTCTGAAATGCATGCCTGATAATGTCAGAAGCAAAGCACCCAGCCAGCGCGACGCACATGGAACACCCCGAGCCCCCCCCCCAGCTGTCTGCGGAGCCCCTGCGTATCCCAGGGGAGTCCGCCCGAGCCCCTCATTTAAACAGCGCCTGGTCAACACCAGTCACAGACTGAGTGTCACCCTGCTACGAGCTACAAACAAGCATAGAACCCACGCCAGAAGATCCCTGCAGTTTAACCAGGAGGAAACAGGGAATCTACACGTGTGTTCTAATGCCACACTCAAACACCAGTCATGAAGGACAGGAAAGCAGCTCTGGACTGCAGGTTTGACAGCAGCCAGCAGCCGTAGCCTCAGTCTTGCTGTCCGCTGCCGCCTTTGCAAAATCTTCCTGAAGCACAGCTGAGCCCACTCACGCTCGCACTGCTTATGTGTGACCCAGCCTGGGATGCCGGCCCGTCTGCTGAAAATATTTATAATCTGGCCTTGCATACAAGGAAACCTGCCAACTCCTACAATAAATAAAAATATGGTGTATCTCCTAGTGGTAAGGACTGAGCTAAGGCTACAGAAAAGAATGATCTCATTCTGGGAACCCCCACTAAACTACATCACTTTGGAGCTCTGGCCCTGGACACTGTGACCTGAGCTGTTTCCACTGTAACAGGTTCAACCCGCTGTCCCAGAGGCCGTGCATCAAGCCGGGAGGATAGCGGTGACAGCTGGCTGGCGGCTGAGCCCTGCCCTCCAGCACCCCGAACTCAGCTGGGCTTCAGGGACCCGGGAACATCTGCTGGAGGAATGGAGGCACAAGTGCCGCAGATGAGGGAGATGCCTCTCCAGCCTTCCTGAGAGCCGCTCTGAAAGCCCAGCATGTCCCCTGGTGCTCGGGAGTGCTGTCAGCCACGGTGCTCGGCTAGCGTGACTCCTGGTGTTCTGCAACATTCTGTCCACCATGGTGCTCAGTTAGCATGACCCCTGGTGTTCTGGGATGTGCTATCAGCCATATTCCTCAGAGAGTGAGGGTGTCCTTAGTGTTCCGGAGTGTTCTGTCAGCTATGCTCCCCCCCCCACTGGGTCCTTTGGTGTTCTAGAATGTTCCATTGGCCATGGTCCTCAGTCCAGCTTGTCTGTTGGTGTTCTAGAGTATTCTATCAGCCATAGTCCTAAGCCTAGCACAGCTTCAGTGTTCTGGAATGGTCTTTCAGCCAAGGTCTTCAGTCCATAGCATGTCTCTTGTGTTTTGGAATGTCATCACAGACATAGTCCTAAACCTAGGATATCCTTGATATTCTGGAATGTTCCATCCGCCATGGTCCTCAGTCAATGTATCCTTTGATGTTCCTGAATATTTTGTCAGCCATAGTCCTCAGCCTAGTCTGTACACCGGTGTTCTAGAATGTTCTAGAATGTCAACCATAATCTGACAGGAACTAGATATCTCATATAGTCAATCTTTTATGACAGATGTGGCTCAAAGTCACAGAAGAGAATTCTTCTGTACAGCATCCTCCCTCACACTCAAGGACCACAGTCTCACCCTGCTGGGTCTGGAGGGCCATTTCCAAAGCCTCCAGGTAAAGATGTCTGGGGGCAAAAGCAGCTGTGGAGTGAAAGTGGCCGGGACCTTGTGACTCAAGCTGAAGGGAAGTCTTGACCCCTGGTTGGTCTCCTTTTTAGCCTAGAAGCTCCTGGCAACGTTCCTAAGGGCGAGAAAGGAATGGGGCCATTTGAAGACCAGAGAAAGCCTCCTGCCTCATCAGAGACCCTGGCCCCAGGACTGCGCCTCCCTCCTGTGCAAGGACCTGAGACCGGAGGCTGGTGGAGATCAGTTTTCAGTATTTTAACTGTACACATTTACGCAGTGCCGCACAAGTTCACTCATGTTTACAGTGGGTGTGAAGTAGCCAGCATCTCCTTCCTGCTCAGCATTTTCGCATTTAGGGTAATGTATAATGATCATACCTCTGTGCATGGTGTGGGGTGACATCTCAGGATGCTCTCATGACATGCACTGACAGAGGAGCGTTGCTGCAGACCTAGCATACACGGCTGGCTCTGCCGACTTCTGTACCTGTGGGGGCCCCACCTCCCTCCCCTGCACAAGGGACGCCACACACAAGGGCACTGGCACCCGGCTGCAGCACCTGGGAGACGACAGGGTGGGTGCTCACCTGCTCCAGCTCAGGGATGCCTTGGTCTCGTGGACTGCAAACAGGAAGGTTCTGCATCTCCAGCCCCGGACAAAATCAGAAGAAGCAAAGTGAGCACAGGAGGACGTGGCCACGTCAGGGTGCCTCCTGTCCCCTCGCATCCACAGGTCACAGCCTACAAAGTGTGACCCACAGGCATGAGTCCCCTTTGCCTGAGGCTCCTGGAGCATGAATAATCTGGGGTGGTGCAGAGTACTCTCGCAGGTGTCCACACATTGGCATGGAGGGGCCTGGAGAAGTCCTGGGTTAAGGACTTTCCCCACCTAGCATTTATCTGGTGCTCCCGGACTGCCTGGCCCAGGGCCCCTCACTCATGCTGAGCCCACCAGCTCACAGCAGGCACTCAGACCAACCAGCGATGGTGCAGGTTGTCTGTGTCTCCGTGAGCCCTGAGGGCGTTTCCCTCCTGAGGAATCGGTTTCGCCAGGGTCTGCAGCCTTCCCTTGGTAGCCCTGCGGTCGCTTTGGGACCTTCTGACAGAGGCATGGCTGAGGTCTCTTCAGAGACTGTGGTCACAGCTGTTCACTCCAAGCTGGAAATGGTCAGCGGCCTCTGTCCCTCCCTCCCTCTTCCCTCTCTCTCCCTCTCTCTCTTTCTCTCTCTTCTCCTCCTGCCCTCCCTCCTGCCCTCCCTTGCTTTCCTAGACTTTACTTTTTAGGGTTTTAGGCTCACAGCAAAATCAAGACAAAGGCACCCAGCACCTCGCCCTGCCCCCACCCCTGCAGCCCACAGCGCTGCCCATGACCCAGGGGATGCAGCCTCAGGGACGGGCTGTGTCTGAGTTGGTTGTGCCGGACTTCGCCCCGCCCCTTCAGTCACCCCAGCCTCACCAGCTGCTCTGGGACCCAGCTGCTCCTGCTTTTCTCAGGGTCCCCCAGGTTGTGCAGACAGAGCGGCTGCCAGTCGGCCCCACGAGGCCTGGAATTTGGCCCCCGCCCAAGTCGGAGGCAGGGCCAGCACTCTGCCCTCCCCGGCTGCCTGGCAGCAGCAGAGGCTGCCAGGCAGGCGCCTGGGCCCAGGGAACGGAGTTGCAGTCCTGGCTGCCCACAGCCTGCCCGCCAGAGCCCACCCTCTGCAGGGCATAGGATGCTGCCTGGAGTCACATGAGCCCGGGTCCTTGCAGCCAGGATTTTAGTCCCGGCAGAGAGCAGATGGAACTGGGATGTGTGGCTTCTGAGCAGAACAGGAGCGTGGACCTCTGCTCTCTGTTCCTTTTCTGTTCTGGCCAGAGTGGGACACAACAGCTGGAGCTGCAGCAGCCCTCTGGGGCTAGGAGGTAGCCTTGGAAAGGGAGCCAGGCTCACAGATGAATAGGCAAGGCAGAGCCTGGATCCTGACCCTGGCGGCAGCATCCTAGCCCAAACCCTAAGAGGGATGTAAACACCTGCTGTATTTAAGCCACCTGGGGATTGGGGCTTGTGGTCACTGGCAGGGCGCTGACCCCTCTGCCTGCCCAAGTGTCAACAGGAAGAAGATGAAAGGAAAGAAAGAAAACAGCTCCAGGACCGAGAGCTCAGCATCTTCAACATGGACTCGGACTTAGTGCTCACAGTAGTGGGCACTGGAAACTCTGTTTACCAAGGAGGAAACCAAGGCTTAGAGAGGAGAAGCCCCCACTCAGGGCCCTCCCGAGGCAGCAGCACAGGGCAGGACCTGCCTCCGTGCACAGGAAGGGCCAGGCCAGGAGCCACCCACGCAGCGAGCACACAGAGTAAGTGGCAGCACCTACCCCAGCCATGACACCGAGCGCCCTGGGACCACCCAGCACCAACCTCCTCCACTCATGACCTCTGCACTATTCTCAGCAGCTCTGTGTGAGGGTGATGTGGCTCCAGTCCAGCCCACAGAGGGACCCTGCAGGCTGCTGCAGGACACCCTGGACCAGGGAGCCTGAGAAGAAAGGGAGAGAGCAGGGAGGTAGACTAGACGCCACTCAGAGCGCCCGGATCCAGCCATGCCTGAAGCCCACCTTCCCTGCATCACATCCAACTCTGCCTCAGTGCTGTGAATTCAGTTCTGCCGCACACAGCAGGAACAGCCTTGGTGAGTGAGCACTGAGCCCTGGCTGAGGGGACGGAGGGGACAGAGCTGGGAAGAAAGGCCTTGGGTTTGGTGTGAGTCCTTTAAGATTACAGAGAGGCTCTGCTGGGCTCCCACTGGAAGGGATGAGCAAGAGGTGGCCACCATGCTACCCCTGCCTCCTGGCCGTTCTGATCCACATGGAGACATGGTCTCTGAGGCCAAGGGCAGGAGACATGTCCAGGCCTCGCCCACATCTGCAGGTTCACACCTGTCATCTACACACTCCGTGAACCTCCCGCTCTCTGCTCCTTCACCCGGGCCACGGGCTGGGCCCTGCCACGCAGTCACCACGGACCCAAAACTCCGTCTTTTCCTCCACCAGCTACAGCTCCTGGAGTACAAGCCGGGCTCTACTCCTGTCCCACGGCAGCGTTGGGGATCATCAGCAACATTGTGCACACGCCCAGGGAGCCCGAGTGACAGGCTTCCTCCTCTCCAGCATGGCTGCACCCATGGGCTGTGCGGTTGGCTCTGGGGTCCTCACAAAGTCAACTTTGCACTGAGGCTATTCAGTGTATCTACTCGCATCGAAACACACCAAGATGGCCACTGTATTTTATTCCATCATTCTTGTGGTCCTGGGTATGGAACCCAGGGCCTCACACATGCTAGGCAAATCCTCTACACCCCAGCTTATGACTGCTGTGGTTTTGTTTTGTGCTGTTTTTGAGACAGGGTCTCGCTATGTATTGCAAGCCGGTTTTGAACTCAAGAGATCCTCCTGCCTCAGCTTCCTGAGAGCCGGGGTGACAGGTGTGTTCCACCACAGCCAGATCAACTGCTGTTTTAGATTTAGGTTGAGACTACAAACTTTAAGTGGTTAGCCTGGCACGGTGGTACACACCTGTCATCCCAGCACTCTGCAGGCTGAAACAGAAGGATCACCACACATTTGAAGCCAACCTGGAATACATAGCAAGACCCTGTCAAAAAAAAACCAGATCCAAGGACATCTAACCACAACACTCATCCTCTCCTGAACCCCACTGCAAGCCAACATTGCACCAGCCCCACGGCACAGGGGGACTGCGACTGGCCCAGACGCCAGGACAAGCCAGTCTGACTTGGCAGAGGGACCCCGCTGTCAACAATCAGAGGAGCCTGCCTCGCAAGGCCTGGACCCAGTGGGGACTGGCCGTGCACACAGGGCGCCCTCTCCCTCACCTGCTGCTCACAGCTTTGAGCCGGCACCCCGGACTGCTCCAGGCGCACTGAGCACTTGTGCCGATGAGAGGCCCACTCCCGCCACAGGGCCTGGATGTCTGTAGCTCTGGCACTGCCCAGCACCCACAGGAAGCTTCCTGCCACCCCACTGTGACAGCCCTTCCACCACTGTGGCCTGTGTCAGAGGACAAAACCAAATAAGGGACTTGTGTGATTCTAGGGTGAGATGGTCTCTCAGTCTAACGCCAGATATGGAATGGAGAGGACGGGGCTGCGCTGGCCAAAGGGAGCCCCCCGCAGGCTTGGCCCAGACCCAAACCCTGTAACAAAGCAGCCAAAGATGCCCGGGCCTGGCTTTGCAGCCGCACACATGTGTGCACGGAGGGAAGAGGAGATGGGCCTGTGGAACCCATGCGGGACAGCGCCCTCTGCTCCAGGCTTGCTTTCCTCTCAGCCCTCGGGGGCTACACCTTACCCCTCCCGGCCCTACCAGAAACTCTGGTCTCCCCATCAGCCAACCCTTCACAGCCTGTTGGGCTGGTCCTCTGCTGTCCCACGCAGTGGCCACCAGCCCGTGACACAGAGCGAGACTTGAGCGCCCTGTCGCCATGCAGAGGAGCAGCCACTGTGCAGGCAGCAAGGTTGGGATGTGCTCTCAACAGCCGGCCATGCTGGGTGGCCTTGTCTACACTAGCGTGGCCTGGCCTCGAGTCTACACAGCAAGCATGGGGGGAAGCAGACCCAGAGTCTAATCCTAGCTCCCATTGGAGCCACCATGTGACCAGGGACAGCCACACAGGTCTTGTCCTTGGAGTCATGCGTTGTTTCTGCCTCCCATTGAGTTGAGGGACAGCTCCCCTCCTCCTCTTCCTCCTCCTCGTCTTCCTCCTCCTCCTCCTTGTCTTCCTCCTCCTCCTCCTCCTCCTTGTCTTCCTCCTCCTTCTCCTCCTCGTCTTCCTCCTCCTCCTCCTTGTCTTCCTCCTCCTTCTCCACCTTGTCTTCCTCCTCCATCTCCTCCTCCTTGTCTTCCTCCTCCTTCTCCACCTTGTCTTCCTCCTCCTTCTCCTTGTCTTCCTCCTCCTCCTCCTCCTGCATGGTGCCTGGTGGGCTGGGTCAGGTCCTCCACTATATGGACACAGCCCTCTTGGGATGTGGGAGCATCGGCCCAGTGTCTTCAGCCTCCCGCAGGATCACTCCAGGTTTACAGGTGCAGAGGGCAGGCAGCAGGCAGGCTGTAGCGTGTCTGCAGGGTGGCGAGTGCGGCGAGCGCTCACCATGGCTCAGACCTGTGTGTAGTGCGGCCTGTGACTTCCCTGCAGCACCACGCACATTAAGACAAACCACCACCATGCAGAGGAGGCCGCGATTCCGAGGATGGAGGACCTCTTGCAGCCTCACGGCCCATCCTCGGTGGCTGCTGCTGTATCTCGGCTGCCTCTAGCTCAAGGCTGGGCCCTGCACAGTGGCACCCAGGGTCACTAACAGGCCAGCTCTGCTGTGTGACAGGTGCGGCCTCTGCTGTCAGCCAGCAGCCTCGGTGCCAGGCCTGGGTGGTGGAGGAGAGGGTGTTTGTATCAGGTGGGATGGGGGCTGGGCACGCTTTCCGCAGCATCTGGGTGGAAGGAGCTGAGACATGGTCTCAGGATGTAACCCAGGCTGGGCTTGAACTCATGGCAGCCCCTTCGCCTCAGCCTCAGGAGCGCTGGGGTTAGAGACATGTTATAGCCTGCATCTAGATGCCCTCCAAAGCTGCACAGGTGGCTGGACCAAGGGTGTGTGAATGTACACAAGAGTGTGTGATGGCTGGATTGGTGCACTGACCGACCGGCTTAGCTCTGTTGTGGATGGAGGTAACGGAATCCCCACCTGAGACATGGGTGGCACTAGCAGGACTGTCTACAGGCAGAGGGAGAGAGGGAAGGTAGGGTCACTGCTGGTCACTGCTGGCCGCTTCCTGCTGGCCCTGCTGGGGACTGTTCCTCCCCTGCGATGCCCCTCTGCCATACCACCCTGCCTTGGAGCCAGCTGAGTACGGACTGAAACCCCTACAAACTGTAAGCAAATAAATCTTTCCTGTTTTAATTCAAGGGTGTCAGGTGTTTTTGTCTCAGCAACAAGAAAGTAGCTAAGACAAGGCTTGTATCACCACACCTACTTAGAGCATTTTTAAAGGTCATAGAAGATACTCAGGGTTTCTTCCCTCAAAGTACACATACGTATTCACCGAGCGTAGCGGTTTGGAGGACAGTTCCATTTTAGCACTGTTTGGGGTAAAAGGGGGACAGCCCAAACAAATGTCCCGCAGTGGGGAATGCGTGAAATTCACAAACCTCATCTCACCCAGAAGTTTCAGAGCAGACACGTGCGTGGGGCTGGAGGTGAACGTGGGTCCCAGAAATGCTTCTCGCCTTCCAGGAGCATGTGCATTCTCTTGGGACAGAGGATTCAGATGTTTCGCTTCTGTGTGTCCATCTGCGCTTTGAACTTCCACGTGCTTTCTTGCCCAGCGCTATGTTTGAATCTCCAGGGAATCATCTCTCCGCCCGGGGCCCAGGCTCTGGAGCCACAGCAGCCTCCATGGTGGCCACTGGGCCGCACATGGGAGCACCGCGCGTTTGCCGTTCCCGGGATGACAATCACCCGTGGCTTTTATGGGCATGGCTATTTATTTTCCAATCCAGCATTGAGTAGGGACCTCTGCCATAAACTGGTAGCTCAGGCAACTCTGAAGCGTCCAAGTGTGCGTTTTTGTGTGGAAGATTTAGGAGGGCAGGCTCCCTGGCTGTTTTATTGGCTTCTTTTACATATGCATGGCTGGAGCCTCAGCCACTGGGCCGACCTCCCCGGGCCAGGAACTCAGAAACCACCAGGGGGACCTGGAGGCCACTCAAGTCACTGCCCCTGGAGACACCACCTAGGGACCCGAACACCCCAAGACAGACCAGAACCTCATCAGGAAATGGGCTGGAAGGGCTGCTGGCTCCTGTCACGGGTCCTCAGAAGGAATAAATACAGGAGTGCCGACAAAGTGCTGAGCTCAGTACCTCAGCACAGTAAGCACCCACGCCTCAGTTCTCCTTCTCTCCCTCCCAAGCTCTACTGGCCCTGGTCCTCTCGCCCAAGGCTGGGCTAATGAACCTGGCTGAGCGGTCTCTTTGAGCGGTCTCCGGTGTGGCCTCCGCTTCCTGTGGCCCCTGTGCGGGGCAAATGGGCCAGCAGTGTGTAAATGTCATGGCCAGTCCTCCTCCCAAGGGGCCCAGCACAGATGTTTTCAGCCCCGGCCGCCAAGAAAGGGTGCATTGTGTGCGGGCTCCACACAAAGGCCGCCAGCCCCGTCCCCTCCTTACGCACTGATTTATTAGGCCAGGGATGAATGAAAGCGTAATTAATATTACTGAAGCATTAGAGTCTATTTAATTTAAATGCCACTGAATATTTCACTTGCAGCCAGGAGTGACAATGTGCTCCGGCCGGCTGGTGAAAGCGGGCCATCTGTTACGGGCAGGGAGAGGGCCCGGCCGGGCGGCTCTGTGGACATTCCAGAAGTCTGGCCATCACTCAACTCCAGGGCAGCGCAATGCCTTCCTGCGCACGCACGAGTCCTTGCCCTGGGCCCCCACCCAGAGGACAGGCAGGGCCTGGGATGCAGGAAGCCAAGGGACCAGAGTGGCCAGAGAGAGAGCGAGAGGGACAGAGAGAGCGCTCTTGTGAACCCGGAAGTCACCGGAGGGAGGAGAAGAAGGGCCACTGCGTTGAGGAGCAGGCCGACCAACCAGAGGTCAAGTAGCCACTAGCCACTGGCCTGGCATGGTAGTGCCTGCCTATTGTTCCAACACTTGCAAGGCTGAGTCGGGAGGATCACCAGGAGCCAGAACCACATCAGGTGGCACATCCAACCTCCAGTGTCCCAGGGCAGGGCAGCATGGGCTGCTGGCCCATCACAGAGTCTGCACACACAGAAAGGCATCGAGCGAGCTATGGCCCTCAGGAGCCGGGGGGCGGGAGGGGGCACAGATCTCAGGGTTCCTGGGCTGGCCAGCAGGCGGGACCACGGTTCTGGGCCCTCGGGGTCCTGGGAGCAGCGGGAAAGGCCGCCCTCATTCAGGTGGGTGATGCAGGGCCCAGAAGGCTCTGCTCCTAACTGGGTCACGTGTCCCCCACTTTTCTCTCACACTGATTCTGTGCCAGGGGACCGCGTGGCCATACCTTGCCGGCTGATCAGTGGATGAGCAGCGGAGGTAGATGAGGGCCTGATTCAAGCCAGCGTGCCTCTCTTGGGGAGGGGGGAGCAGGAGTGGGGAGCTGGCTGCAGTCAGAAAGGCACTGTCTCCACATCCGGCCCCATGCCAGCTCTGGGTGCCATCTGTGTGTCCATGGCAAGGCCACAGCTGCCCCTGCCGGAGGGGCGTGGGATGGGGCATGGGGGAAGGGATGAGCCTGCCAACCTAGCCGTGTCAGGGTCACCTCTGTGTCTTGACGAGCACCCCATGGTCACCTCCTCTGTGTCTTAGGAAGCGCCCAGTACTGAAGCTCTCAGATCAGCCAAGGGGCCTCTTGTGACTCAGTTTCTCTCCTCAAAGAGGGCAGGGGGTTGGCACTTCCCTGATTCACCACACAGCCAGACTCCAATGAGCCTGGCTCATGGACAGTGCAACTCTGGGGTGGCTGCGGTGGCGCACGCCTGTAACCCTACCACTCAGGAGGCAGAGGGCGCAGGACCACTGCAGGCTCCAGGCCAGCCTGGGCCACACAGGAGCCCCTGTCTCAAAAAGAAAATGTGAGACTCTGGCTTCTCAGGCTTATGTGAGCCCCTGGTTCCAAGCCCAGGACAGGAAACAAAGCAACCCTTTCGGAGCTGGACACTCTTCAGTCCAAACCTCAGCTCTGTCATAGTCTGACCATGCATAAGTCACTTACCTGACCCAAGCCTCAGTTTTCCAACCCAGAAAATGGGACTGGTGAGTTTCCAAGGCAGCAGTACAGGCTCGGCAGAGAGCAGGTGGGACGGGAGGAGCTCGCTGGACACAGATGGAGTGGAGGACTCCTTCTCATGCCCTTGCCCCATCTGCCCTCATGCCTCACTCTCATGGCCCAGAAGCCCCAACCACTGGGCAGCTTCCCCGACCACTGTGCTCCCTGCTCCAGGAAGTCCTCTCCTCTCCCTCAGCAGTGGCCTGCAGACAAGACCCCTGGGCCCATCCATCCCCAGGTGACCAAAAACAGGGTGGATGTTCAGATCCTTGAAAGAGGTGATTGCAGCAGAAACGAATTCCTCTCAGAACCCACGTCCTCCGCGATGGCCGACCCAGTGTCCTCCTGCTTCCCATTGCAGCATGGCGCCCTCTCCCAGAGGTCTTTAGCTGCGCTGTCCCAGCTGCCCACGGGTGCCCCTGGGCAGCAGCCTCACCATCCTGTTGGTCACACTGGCAGAGACACTCAGCAAAGAGGACACCAGACACCAGGGCCGACAGCGGGACTGGGAGGGGACCATCAGCAGTCCTCTCCTGTACTTTGTGTGTCCCTAACGTGCACATTCAGCCACCTGCAGTCTCTCCTCACACGCCCTCCCCTCATCCGGCCTCCAGGGAGCAATGTGGCCCTGCACCGGTGACTGAGACACGTGGCTGGTGCTGACACCCTGCGCTCCGGCATTCAAACCCTGGTGCAGGAGCCAGACTTGCAGGCAATTTGCTGAGTGAGCGCTGGATGCTGAGCAGGTGCCCCCAGCCCTGCCCTGACTGCTGTCCCCAGAGGGTGGGGCCCCTGTCCTTAGTATTCGAAGCTCCCAGCTCTGTGCTCTCCAGGAGGGATGGATGGGCAATGAATCAATCCACTCCTACCTTCGTTGAGATGACTTTGTCTGAGGTCTTGGCAGGCAGCAGTCTTCCTGGGGACAGAGCTCACCCCACCGACCCACACATCACACAGCTGGTGGTCCTTTCTTTCCTTGGGTAGAAGTCCTGTGATTGTTCTGTACAGAAAACTAGGGGGGAACAAAGCAGTGGAAGAGGGAAGGGACTGGCCCGTGAACGGCCCGCAGGTCCTGCGGTCCTGTGCCTCCTGTGCTGACACGAGGGACGCCTGCGGGAGGCTCTGCACACATAGTGCTGTGCTCCAGGGAGTTGTACCTGCATGTGCTGCAACCCAGCACCATCACAAGATGGGTTTTCTCCACGCTGGGGCTGAAACCAGGGCCACACGTGCCAGGTGCCAGGCAAGTGCTCCACTGCTCAGCAACAGCCCCGCCCTTTAATTTACATTTTGACACCAGGCCTCTAAGTTGCCCTGTCTGCCCTGAAACTTGCCATCCTCCTGCCTCAGCCTCTGAGTAGCTGGGATGACAGGTGATGTACGAGAGTCCTGATCTCTGTTGCGCAGTACCTGGAGTGGGGCAGGAGCTGCCCCAAGCTGCCTTAACCCACGCAGAGCCATCTGTGCCCGTCACCCCACAACCTGAGCCATCCACAACCCGGAAGGGTGCAGAGCTGTGTCAGCCCAGGCTACCCACACCAGTTCTGCCTGTGGCTACAGCTGTGGGAGTCCCAGTCCCCAAGTCCTCCAGGGTCAAGGAGGGTTACAGCTGCCCAGATAAACAGGGTATGGTCGCCCAGACTGGGAGATTCCCCCCGCCCCGTGACAAGAGACAGCCCTGCCAGGGCCTTTCCGCCTTTGCGAGGGACAAAAAGAGGCTTTGTCACCAGCCTGGGCTTCCAGATCCCAGAGGACACTGGGCCTCCTGGGCTGGCCCGGGAGTGGCCCCAAGCCGGAGCACAGGGTGCCAGTGTGGGGTGTGGAGGAAGGTGTGTCCTGGAGGGTGGTGGGCAGCCCAGAGCTGCCCTTCCACAGCAGAGGGTGCAGGTGACAGCAGGAGCTCAGGGGTTGGTGGCCTTCTCCTCTTCCTCCTCCTCCCCCTTTGCACTCAGGGCAGTGCTGCCTGCTCTGCCTGGCTCCACATTCGAAGTGGACACCAGGAGGCGCCTGTGCATTGCGGCCAGGCTCTGAGACCTTGGTTCCAGGGACAGGGACAGTGAGGGTCCTGCCAGAGGGCGGGGTGGGGCAGGGCGGAGGGGTGGGAGGGGCTGTTCAGGCGGGCGAGGAGGAGTGAGAGGAGGAACAGAGTGTCCTCTGTCCTCTTTCAATTTGAACAGTGAGAGTGCTCTCTCCTTCTAATTTTTTACCGCCTTTCTAAGAGCTTTTACTTTGATTAGTTTGCAGTGCAGGGCTATCACATTCCCCTCGTTCCACAGGGACGGGAGGCATCTCAGTTCTTCCTGCTTTGCGCCCTCCCCTCCAACCCTGCTCGGTTCTTGGCTCCTTCTGTCTGTGCGGATCTGTCTCCCGCCTCCCATCAGCTGGCTTCTGTTTTGCTCTTTGCTGTATTTACACTTTGGGCCTCTCCTACAGGAGACACCGTGTGGTGACGAAGGCCTTTTCACTAACACTGTGGTCTCAGGTGCAAACCCCCCCCCCCCCGCCCCACGCGTGGCTCCTGTCTATCCTTTTTACGGCAGAATAGCGCTCCACTGTGGGTAAACACGTGCTCTTCACCCACTCACCTGTTGATGGGCACCAGGCTGCTTCTAGGATTTGCTGCCACGAGTGCTCAGTTTGGGCCCCTGCCTAGGACCTGTCTTGGGCATCCTTGGGGAGGGCAGCTCAGCAGGACCCAGCCTGCTTCGATGGAATCCAGCGCTGCCTCCGAGAGACCGTGGCTTTCCTGTCGCCTGCCCTGCGCCTGGAGTTCCCGTCTTTGGAGCGGCTGGGGCCAGGCGGGGAGGCTGCTATCACCAGCAGGAGCCGGGCAGCAGGGCGTCCAGATGCGGGGTCCACTAGTGACAGTTGCAGGGGCTGGAGGGAGGTGGGGAGCGCAGAGACACTGTGCCAAGCCACAAGGTGCTTACAGTCAGCCGCCATTGGTTTCACATGATTTTATTCCACTTTTATGCCATTTGAAATCAGTAACAGAATTTTAAAAGTCATCTTTGGTTTTAAGTAACATAAACATGAACTCAACCTGTTTAAGGTGAAGAAGTAACATATCTTTAAAAACAACTCCAAAGCTCACAGCAACCCCAGCAACCCTGGCTCCAGCCATCATGCACAGGAAGAACTGCTGCCAGCTGTTCCTGTCCTTCACCCATCCAGGAAATTGCAACTGTCTTGCCACTGCTTCAGCTGCAGTGACCGGCCCGGGAGGGACTGGCTGTGGCCAAGGTGTTTGTCCTCCTGGGGCCAGAAGCAGGGTCTGCCCCTGGGGACCCCAGTTCACACTGGAGGCTGGAGAGAGAGCCGGGGGACAGCGGGGAAGGGGCCCCGAACAACGTAGCAGGGAGCCCAGGGCTACCCCTGTCAGCTCTCTGGGAGTCGGTGGCCATGAGGGCCTTGGTCCTGGCTCCGTGGGACTTGCGCATATGACTAGCCGCTACTCCGCCATGCTCACCCTTCTGTGTCTGCAGGAGCCTGCTTCAAGGGATGGAGTCAGAAATGACTCCAGAGCCCGGTCCAGGTCACACGAGGCCACGCAGCTCCCGTCTGCTCCCTGGCAAAGTCCTCACACAGAAAGCGTGACCGCCTGTGCACCTGTGTCAGCTGGCCATGGTCCCCATCCTGCCCCTGTCTGAGCCCACGGAGGGCAGCACCCACTCCCACCCTGCAGATGTCCACTGTCGCCCTCTCCCACAAGGCAGAGCTGGAGCCCTCCATCCCCCGGTGCTGCACATGTTCTCCCACGGATAGCGGCCCTGCACAGCCCAGAGAAGGGGAGGCCAGGGTACAGGGCCAGGTGCCGAGAGCCATAGGAGTGACCCTGCTCTGGCTGAGGATGGTGACAGTCACCCATTGCTCCCATGGGACTTGGGGAGCAGGGCGAGGTTCTGTGGTGCCTGGGAAATGGTTGAGTTCAGGGGGGACATCGAGGCGGACTCAGGGCCAGTGACCCTGGCTAGTGTCCGGGATGCGGGCCAGGGAAGGGGACAGCAGATGAGGAAAGCAGCAGACACTCCCCACCACATGGAGCCTGCTGCGCGGTCATGGACCTGGCTGTGACAACCCATGCCTCACTGTCCCTTCCTGGCCACTTGGGAACATGGACCTGGGGATACAGCACTGCACTGTGCGAGGGTCCTCCCTGATGCCAGGCTCTGTGCCGGTGGAAGGCGTCTGTGGGGCTGCCAGGCACCCCCTCTCAGCTGAACACCAGGGAAGAGGGCATGATCCTGTCCCCTCCTGTCGGTGTCACTCCCGGCCGGCAGGAAGGACACACAACAAAGTCTGGCAGTGGACAACCTTTTCTTTTATTTTCCTTCTCCGTACAGCCTGCCCCGGGAATCCTCCCGGCCGAAGCCTCTGTTGGTCCGCTCCCCGCGGCTCCTTGCGTGCTTCTCCCTACAGTCTGTCCCGAAGCCTCTACCGGTCCGCTCTCCGCGGCTCCTTGCGTGCTTCTCCCTACAGTCTGTCCCGAAGCCTCTACCGGTCCGCTCTCCGCGGCTCCTTGCGTGCTTCTTCTGCTTCTTTTGCTTCTTCTTTTTTCTTTGGCGGGAGAGGCACTCACTTTTATAGGGTTCAGTTGTTGCTAGGCAGACTATCTTACAGGGCGGGTTGTGAAGCAGGAGATCTTACAGGGCGGGTTGTTTACCAAGCAGGAAGCAGGAGATCTTACAGGGCGGGTTGTTTACCAAGCAGGAAGCAGGAGATCTTACAGGGCGGGTTGTTTACCAAGCAGGAAGCAGGAGATAAGCACCATCTTAGCACACTCGATGGGAGGGGTAATCTAGCTCAGGCTTTGCTCTTTCCTACAGGCCTCACGTCCGCCAAGTAAGGCGACCGGGCTCGGGGCTGCGGCTCCCAACATCTCCCCCTTTTTTATTTTTTATGAATGTGCGCATCGTAGCCCTTCCTGGACTGGGTGCAGAGGCTTATGCCCTATGCGTAGGCCCACCGTAGGTCCTTGGCTTAGACCCTGGTCGGCCGTCCCATGGTCTGCCAAGGCCCTGAGGCCCTCGTCCTTTTTCTAGGGCCAGGCACAAACTGGACGGAACCTGGATGCACACAAGCTTGCACTCATTTCCTCTCCGTAAAGAAATCCCCTCGGAGAGAAATTTAGACCTGGGCAGCATCTAACAGTCCAGCGGCTTACGTGCAGGATGGGGTAGGGCCTGGCTTAGGTTGAGTCGCACCGGGGGAGTACGCTCTTACCCGTCATTGACTCTCCTACCCAGCTATGTCATAATTTTTTAGAGGAGGAGTGTGGGAAGCTCACCGCCCCTAGACTCGGTCGTAGGCTAGGCGAGCGAGCCATGCATATGCCTGAGGATCTTTTTGTCCATTTTGGGCTACCGCTATTTCTATTCATCTTGTTGGTTGGTCTGTGATGGATCTCCGGTAGGGCAGGTCTGATCTTCAGTCGAGGGCTTTGTTGCCCGTGTCAGTCTCTCCGGTACCCACAGTGGTTCTCGTCCCGGTTCCTGTGGGAAAACACAAACCGCGCCTCGGTTCCAGCTAACCACCGGATCCGGGCCCATCCATTGTCCTGTTAGGACATCTTTCCATTTAACCCACCCTTTATGGTTGGGGGAAGGGTTGCAGTGCTCCATAGCTGGGGAGCAATTATCATTATTTAAATTTAAAAAATTGTGTGTGAATAGTGCCATGGATAATCGTGCCTTTGGGGCCAGGCCTTGGCCTACTCCCCCTTTTTGTTTTTGTAAAATTTCTTTGAGGCTTTTGTGAGCCCTCTCAATGATTCCTTGACCTTGGGGATTGTATGGGATACCATGTTTTAATTGAACCTCCATCATTTTGCAGAACTCATTGAAGGCTTTGCCTATATAGGCTGGTCCATTATCAGTTTTTAATATTTTCGGTTTGCCCCATGCGGCCCAAGCCGCCAGGCAATGATTGATCACATTAGACACTTTTTCACCTGTTTCTGCTGTTGCAAATATGACGTGAGAACAGGTGTCTGTGGAAACATGAACATATTTAAGAGTCCCAAATTCCTGTATATGTGTGATGTCCATCTGCCAAACATCACCAGGGATCGAACCTCGAGGGTTTACTCCCATCGGTATGGCAGGTTTGTATGTGGCACAGGAGTCACATAGTCACACGATATCTCGTGCATCTGCTCTAGGAACATGGAAATGGTTTGCTAGTGTCCTGGCATTGACATGAAACTTATCATGGAAGGCACGGGCTCGCTCGATTGGTGTTCTGGAGGCGACACAGAGGTCCACGCCTGCTGACCCAGGGGTAGCCCTTGTGGAAGGCTGCCACCCTGTGTTGTCCTGTCTCGGGGGTGGGGGCCCGCCGGCGAGGAGGGCCCCCTCTGGTCGTTTTTTGGCTCGTTAACATCTCGGCCACAAATACGATTTCCCTGAGCGTCATAAACTGACCTGCAATCCTCTGCCTTATGTGGACCCTTTCTGCATCGCCCACAGACGTTATACGATCCTTCATTTTTAAGGCGAGGCTTGGCGTCTGCACTATTTGGGCAGTTGCGTTTAATGTGTCCTGGGTCCCCGCAGCTGAAGCACCCCTTGGCTTTATGTTCCTCTCTAGACCCGCGAGGTCCCCTTTGTTGCACTGCCGCAGCCAGAAGAGCTGCAACTCCCGAATTAGAAAGCGGCCCCCCTATTTCTCTGCATATTCTGATCCAGGCATTAAGATCCTTATTCTTATGTGGGGCTATTGCTGCCTTACATTCCTTTGTGCATTGTTCGAAAATCAACTGCCTAACCAGCGGTTGAGCCACTTCCCTATCGGAAAAGATCTTATCGGCGGCATCTTGCATCCGAGCCACAAAATCAACGAATGGCTCTGTTGTGCCCTGGACTATTTTAGAAAGGCACAAGGATGCCGTTCCGGCACCACTCACCTGCTTCCAGGCGCGAAGCCCAATGGTATTGATCTGCTCATAAACTGCACCAGGGAACTGAGTCTGATTATCAGCGTGTTGGCCTTCCCCCATAAGCATGTCTCTATTCCACCCCCGGTTCCCTCGGTTAGCGTTTCTTTCCGCCTGTTCGGCAGCGAACTCGGCGTACCAGGCTCGCCAATCCAGGTAACTACCCGAGGGCAGACACGCCTTTGCCAGCTGAGTCCAGTCCGTGGGGGTGAGGGGCCCAGAAGACAGGTTCTCCAGCATGGCAATGGTGTAAGGCGCAGTCGGCCCAAAGGTTGTAACTGCATTTTTAAGTTCTCTAATCTGCTTTATTTCAAAGGGTTCCCACACATTACGTCCCTGAGCCATGGCCATCTGTACAGGATATATCCCATAGGGGCCGCTATCTATCCCTGGGAACGGGTGGTCTTCATTAGACACACGACCCCCATGCCACAGCTGTCTGTGGAAATAACGTTCCGCCGGTGGCGGAGCATCGTAAGATGGCGGCCGTGGCTGAACAGAAAATGGCGGCCTGTGCGTTATTTCCTGTACTGACGGAAGAGGGGGGAGTTCCCATGCGGCGGCCTCGCGGCGAGGGACCGCTTCCGGGAACGAGTTCCAGGGCGGAGCAGAAGGTTCTGTCTCCCTCCCCTGCCAGGGGGCGCTCAGAAGCTCTCTGCTTTTTCGTAAGCCTAGCTGAGCGGAGCGCAATTCGCGGCGCAACGCAGCGAAAGAGCCTTGCGTCTCCCCATCAAGTGACTTAGGCCCCTGACAGCTGGTCTCTTTGGCTTCCTCACCATTCAACCTTCCCTCGTCCTCGGAGTCAGACGACTCCGAGGCTTGAGCCCCGTCCTCCTCCTTAGCATCTTTGTTCCCCTTGACGGACCCCTCTCGGGAGCTCCCTGACTGGGCCTGCTCAAATACCCTGCGTACTTTTGTAAGCTCTTGAGAGCTTTCCCCGCAACCACCCTCACTCTTAGTGCCGTTACCTAGCATGTTTCCCATTTTTTAATATGTTACTCACCGCGTGAGGCCCAAGGAATCCGCCACTTACGCGTGAGCCTGAGAGAAGTCTACAAACCCTGTAGGTGCGCGCCACCCAGGGTCCAGGTTTATCCTCTACTCACCTGTCTTGCAGCTCTGCGTTGGAGCGTTGTCCACTGCCACGTCTCGGGGGTGATCAGTCGTTCCCCGTACGGGCCACCAAATGTCGATGTCACTCCCGGCCGGCAGGGAGGACACACAACAAAGTCTGGCAGTGGACAACCTTTTCTTTTATTTTCCTTCTCCGTACAGCCTGCCCCGGGAATCCTCCCGGCCGAAGCCTCTGTTGGTCCGCTCCCCGCGGCTCCTTGTGTGCTTCTCCCTACAGTCTGTCCCGAAGCCTCTACCGGTCCGCTCTCCGCGGCTCCTTGCGTGCTTCTCCCTACAGTCTGTCCTGAAGCCTCTACCGGTCCGCTCTCCGCGGCTCCTTGTGTGCTTCTTCTGCTTCTTTTGCTTCTTCTTTTTTCTTTGGCGGGAGAGGCACTCACTTTTATAGGGTTCAGTTGTTGCTAGGCAGACTATCTTACAGGGCGGGTTGTGAAGCAGGAGATCTTACAGGGCGGGTTGTTTACCAAGCAGGAAGCAGGAGATCTTACAGGGCGGGTTGTTTACCAAGCAGGAAGCAGGAGATCTTACAGGGCGGGTTGTTTACCAAACAGGAAGCAGGAGATAAGCACCATCTTAGCACACTCGATGGGAGGGGTAATCTAGCTCAGGCTTTGCTCTTTCCTATAGGCCTCACGTCCGCCAAGTAAGGCGACCGGGCTCGGGGCTGCGGCTCCCAACACCCTCCCATCCAACACCATGCTGCCTCAGTTTCCCCACATGCCCACAGCTCCTTCCCTGAATATTCCTGCTCCAGGGGACTGGGCCGTCCTAAGCTCCACGAAGGGCACCCCAGGCTCAGCATCACACAGAAGCCCATGCTACCAGCAGGGTGCCTCTCGTGGTCTGGTCTGTGCCAGGTCCACTGGAGCTAAGTTGGTTGTCCCTTGAAACTCACCAGTCAACCCTGCCTTCTCCTCCTCATCCAGAGGCATCCTTCCAGACTGAACCCCAAAGCCCTTTTCCTGGTGCCCTACTGCACCCCTCTTCACCCATCTGCACCCTCCTGCCTCTTCCTCCTTCCTCCCAGACTCCACACAATTCCTCAGAACAACCTCTCGCCCCACACTGCCCACTATGGTCTGGACAGCAGCTTTCTCTAAGTGTCCTGGGGATCAAAAAGCATCACCTGCGTTTATCGATCATGTTGGGTCCACATTGTGTCAGAGCCAAAGTTTCCACAAAGTTTCCAGGGGTCCTGGAGACCCCTGACTCACAACATGAGACATCTTCGGAAACCCACTAGATGGGCCTGCGGGCAGCATTCATCTGCAGCTCTCTGAAGGCTGAGGCAGGAGGATCCCAAATTGGAGCCCATTTAGCACTTAGCAAAACCTTATCTCAAAATTTAAAAAATAAAATAAAATAGAAAGGGCTGGGGATGTAACTCCATTTGAAGGTCCTGGCTTCAGTCCCTCGTGCCGCCAAAAAATTTCAGGTGGAGAGTGGTGATGCATGCCTGTAACCCCAGCACTCAGAAGGCTGAGGCAGGAAGAGCACTGCATTCGAGATCAGCCTGGGCTGCAAAGTGAGTTCAAAGCCAGCCTGAACCGTATAGTGAGACCCTGTCTCAAAAATACTAACAATAATAATGTTTAAAAAAGAAAAAAGAAAGCGTGCTTCAGGAATTCTCCTGAGCCCCACAGCACCCTGCTTGCTGCCCTGTGTGACCCCGTGTGACTGCCTCCCCATGGCTCAGCACAGCCCCCCGCCAGGACAGACAGCCAGGGGAGCCAAGCGCGGTCCTCGGTGTGGCTCTATGGAACAGGTCTCTCTCCCACCACAGGAAGTCACTAAGGGAGGCTGGTGCCATCCCAGCCCCAGCAGAATCTCCTCCCAGGCCCCTCAAGGAAAGGGGTCCTTCTGGACACCTTTGCACCCCAGCACCAAAACCATCATTGCTTGTCAACCAGCTTTGGGGCTGGCTCTGTCCCTGGAGGATGCAGGACCAATATCCCTGAGCAGAGGGTCAGCCTCACATTAGAAACTTGGACAAAAGCCAGGCATGGTGGCTCACATCTGTAATCCCAGCATTCTTGAGGCTGAGGCAGGAGGGTCGCCTGAGGTTCAAGACCAGCCCACAACATAGCAAGGCTCTGTCTCAAAAATCCCCAGTGAAAATAAACAAAACGAAACAAAGCAATTCAAAACCCCACAAAAAATAAGCAATAAAATCAACATCTGAGGCCTGGCAATCAAGCCTGGGGTCTGCACCATAACCCGGTTCCAGGCTGGCCTCAAACTCACAAGAACCCTCCTGCCTCAGCCTCCTGTGTTGCCAGAACCACATGTGTACACCACCACGCCTGACCACTTTGGCACCTGTGTCTTTGGTCTGATGATTCATTTTCCCTCAAACTTTGCTCCTTTGTGTGCTGACTGTAAAGATATTAATGTGTGTCACAGTCACTTCATGTGACTGCTGTAAAATACAACAAAGCTGGTGGCTTACAGTGATGGACACCAGCCCTGCCACAGTGTAAAGGCTGGAATCCAAAATCAGCTTCCCGAGGCTGAAGCAAAGATGCCGTGCAGGCTCGGGAGAAGTCAGGACTGCGTCCCCTGGCTGCAGTGATGGCCTTGGCTTTGGATTCTCTGCCACACATTGCCTCGGCTCTGCCCTGAGACACATGACCCCACCCTCTGGTCAAGGTGCTATGACCATGTCCACGGCAACTCAGGACCCAGTACCCCCTTAGAACCCCCCTCACCCACAGGGCCCGATGCAGTGATGGGGAGCCCCACTCCAGTCACTGCACGGCTGCAGGCTCCTTGCGATGGTGGAGTGGGTCCCTGCCAGGCTGGGACACAGCCAGTGTGAGCTCCTGTCACCTGGTGGCCTTGTGTCCTCATGTGGGACAGGAGGAGGCAGGCACCCTAGCCACGCCGCCGGGGTCTGTGGCACGTGGAGGACACACAGGACTTGGGAGAAACATGAGCACTAAGCGCACTCTGGCCCTGTGACCCCACACAAGAAAATGCACTCATCACAGTGGCACTTCCACAGCAGCTGTGAAATAAGCACTCATCAAACAGCACATGAGAGGATGGCTGTGCTCCGGGAGCTTCACGGTTTCCACACTGGCTTCCAACGTCTCCTCTGACAACTAGAAGGAGCCAGGCCGGCTGGGCTCCTGGTGCTGTGCTGCTCTGGCAGTGAGCGGCTGTCCTGGGCGCCAGGGACAAGCCCCCCACAGACTACGTCCCCTCCTCCTCCTAGCCGGGTGTCTGAGTCCCCCGAGGTCGCTGTCCGGAGTAGAAATGAGGAGAGGACACGAGGTCCTGGTGCCTAATGACACGGAGAGGAGGGAGGATGACAGTGGGGATGGTGACCCTGCAAGAGCCAAGGTCACCTGGAGCAGGTGGGCGTATATCAGCATTCTGGGAGGCTGAGGCAGGAGGAATGCAAATTCAAGACTGGGTAAAATAAAAACTGGGAGTGTAATTCAGTGTGAAATCCCTGGGTTTAATCCCTAGAACTGCAAAGAAAAATAGAATAAAATTTTTAAAAGTCAGTTGAAAATCTAAGCCTGGAAAAGTTTAAGAGAAGAAAAGTGGAAGACATGGATGTGCGGATGAGGAGAGTCGAACCACAAGGGTGAGCTCTCCTCTCCCAGGGGTGATGGAACCGCTAGCAATGGAGAGTGCGCATGTGCGGCGCCCCCCAGGGGCGTGGCCCGCAGCTCCTTCCTGGGCGGCTCCTGGGCAGGTGAGCTTTCTCCTGCGGGGACCTGGGCCCCGGCTCCTGCCGAGGTTGAAGGCCAAGCACGAGCAGTGAAGAAGAGGCTGCGGGCTGCATTGACCACACCGTGGTAAAGCTCTTCAGCGACACAGTGACACCGGAGCTAGTCTGCCACTGTGTGCCTCCTTTTCATCCTGCAGCCTCCTCCAAGATAGTGTAGGTGTCAGTTTCCCAGCCAGCTGCATTTCCTGTTTTGCAACTTTCCAAGTGCTGCCTGAGGGTTGTGCATGGCTCAGGTGACACTGCAGTGACCCAGCACTGGGTGGAGAGGACACGTTGGTGCACTAACATGGCTGGGCCGTGGTTCCCTTACAAACCAAGCAAAGCACCCCAGACCCTGGCACAGGAGGAACTGGCAGGACAGAGCTCCCTCCGCGTCCTGGGGAACCAGGGGCAGAGCCCCGTCCAGCTGCAGCTGTACACATCCCACACTGTCCACACGGGCCAGGGGCCCCCCTGCCCTGAGGTCCCTCCTGCCATCATTGTCTCGGAGCTGAGGGCAGCGTTCAAGGTGGAGTCCAGGCACACATGGTTTACTTTACTTTTCCTCCACCTGCATACCCCTACTTCACAAGGCCTGACCCGGCCCAGCGACAGGAGCAGGGACAGGCTCTGCCCGGACACATGGGGACATGGCTGTCACAGTGAAGAAATAAAGTCTAAATTGCCATCTTTCATGCGAGGTGTCAGGAAACGAGAACTAGGGTGAGACACGGGAAGAGGAAAAAGGAACCCTTTAGTGCAGCAACAGAGCTGACAAGTTCAGAACAGCTCGGTGGACCGGGCAGGAGCCACAGGCACCGCTCTACACTGGCTTTGTAGATTTAAAATCATCCTGGCATAAAAGCCTTGCTTCGCTCAGTATTTTTAGGGCCTATTCATGCACTCTCAGGGAGAGGGCAAGGGGTCTCAGCGACGGTCAGGGTTATGGGAGCAAAAGTCAGTTGCTGCAGGTGAAGCTTTGAAGCCGGCTCTGGTGCTGGGCCTCTGCTCTGCCCTAGACCTGGACCGAGAGGGCGCTGTCATCTCTGAGCTTTTGCATTCTCCGTGTTGTTTGTTATTCAGGATCTTCCTGTGTGCAAACCATTTTCCTCGCGCGCTTATCTTTTCCAGAGCATCCTGGAGGAAGGTGCCCCTCACGTCCTAGGTGAGGAAAGTGGCCAGGGGAGGGCTCTCTGCAGGTCTGGCAGGTAAGCAGCCGAGGCCCTGGGCTTCAAACACTGCCCCCAAGTGCTTCTCACCGTCTCTGGGCTCCCGTGGGTGTGGGCACTTCTCAGCCTAGATCCACACGGTCATCTGTATGGGGACTGCCTAAAGTTTAAAAATGAAAAGAATGAACTACTGATAGCAAAGCACTGTGGGGCTTGTTGGTGTATGACTGTACCTGGCCTCCAGAGTTCCTGAAGTGTTACTCTCTTCATGGCTTTTTCATGGCTAAGACAAACTACCCAACACCTGCAATGTAAAGGAGGAGAAAGTTATTTTCGCTCACAGCTTGTAGTGGTTTCAGTCCACAGTTACCTGGCTCCAAGCCGGGGCAGCCTGGCAGAGGAGAAACAGCCCACAGAAGGGCAGGCCGGAGGCCACAGCCTGCCGTCCCCTCCCCACTCACGTCCCATGCAGGCTACAAACCTGTTGGTTGGTGCCGCCCACACCTCGGCACCCAGAACCATGCTAAGCCAGTCAGGGACAAGTCCAGTTATCACAGCCTAGGCCCAGTCCCTCCCCAAGCCCATCTACAGGTGCGTAAGGCCTTGGGGAGACAGCGGGATATAAACCACAGCTACCAGCTATCCCAAGCCAGCTATCCCAACCCGAGGACAGGAAGAGTGTCTGAGCATCTATCTCTGCCTCATCCTCCCTAGGACGTCGGCCATCCTGGGCGGAGAACACGCTGGGCATCTGTATCCGCGTTCACATCCTCGCTCTGCTCCTGTGCTGGTGGGTGACCTGGAGTAATCACTAACTGCCCTATAAAACCAGCGCCCTCACATATCAAAGGGTTATGGGAGGAATGAAGTGAGTTAATCAGTACAATGACCCGGCTGAATAATCGGGGCTCCCACTGCTGTTACTGTTGTCGGAAGAGTATCTGGTTCCTCATCCTCTGATAATTGGGGCTGTATCTGAAAATCAGCGAGGTGCTCTTTGACCTCCTGCTCGGGCAGCTCTGCCCTCTGGTTCCCCAGGAGCAGCTGCCATATGCTGGCCTTTTGAAGCAGGCCCTTTCTGTTTTACAACAGCACTAAACACAGGCAGCAGGTCAACGTCCACTCTCCCTGTCAAGAGTCTCTTGAGCACCAGCCTGGTAAAAGCCGCCTTCTTCTCGCCAAGGGTGATATTTCTGTGCATGGTTAATGCTCCTCTAGCTTTCAACATGAGCCGATTGGCTTTAATCACAGGATGTTATTGAAAAAGATTGGGCAGATTATGGGTAGAGATCGAGATAATTGTCAAGGAGAAACAAGGAAAAAATAATGAATCTTCCATCCCAGGGTGAAACAAATGGCTTTATCACAGGGTCAGGCAGGACGAGCCTGAAATTCCACATCCAGGAGAAAATGTGTAATGGTGGTTTGGGAGCTGGAGAATTTGACAGCAGCAACATCCATGGATCAAAACAGCTTTTAAGTGGCAACCTCAGGGGACTGTTTCTATAAAAGGAGCAAGATCTCTTCCTTCGTGCTGCAGAACATGTAGAATTCTCTGCAAACGGGGCCGCCTATCTGTGATCCTTTGCAAAAAACAAGAAGAAACACAATGTCCCACGATATTTGAGCAATGGACAAAAATCTCTCCAAGTTTTCTGAAACCCACCTGAGCAGCCTCTGGAAGTGGGAAAAGAGACTTTAATGTAAGCTCTGCAAAGCGAGCTTCTCTGGGGAAGCTCCACACACCCGGTCCAGTGTGAACTTATGCACTCCAGCCCCATCTCCCCCTCTTCCAGCCCAAGAACTGCAGTGTGGAACTGTACTTACTTGGATGGCATTCGAGACCAAGCTGGCGGCTTGCACGGCCTCCTACTGGGGGCACCGTGCAATTCCCTGGTGTCCCCAAGCCGGCTGGCCAGGGCAGCAGCTACCTCCCCTTGAGAGAGCCTCACACCCTGCTTCTTACTTAAGGTTGACCACAAATAGCCCGCAATTCCTGCTGTGAGACTCAAAGACAGGCTCTGGGACAGGGACACAGGGACACGGGGACACATAGCACACTGTCATTTCCACTGAAACTTCGATGTCCCCTGGTCAGTGTGATTCGGCCAGTTGCATCCTCCTCCAATCACTTCCTCCTCTGAAATAGTTGATCGCCCTCTTGTAAGGAGAGAAAGCAGGACCCAGAGTGATGGGGTTGGTTCCGGTCGCTCCTGGTCTTGGGTGGGGGGACCTGAGCACCCCCAGATCCTCACAGGGCACTGGGTCACCTCAGCCTCTAGGCTTCCTGAGGATGCCCAGGCCAGCGTCTGAGGACAGTATTGCTTTGGGTCCCCGGGGGACAGAACCTGAAGCCAGGGCAATGACAAACACCTCCAAGTCATAGCATGAAGCAGCCGAAGATGCTCACCCTCGTGAGCCTGGACCAGGCTCCACTACGCCAAGGTGATTTATTTGTTATGGAGGATGCTGGACATTCCCTTTCTTAGCAAGCACACATCCCCCTCAGAACCTCAAATTCCTCCAGAGCATGGAACATGGATCAGTAATTTCACCAGGCATCGGGAAAGGCTCAAAAGGTGAGTGCAACTGAATTGGTGGGCACAAATAGTTCCTGGGATTTGATTCTGTCTGTCTCTCCCCACCAAGTCCCACTCTTAATGAAGTAGCGTCTGATCAGAATCGCTCAGACCTTTTCCTTATTTCTGCTGAGTAGCAATTTCATACTCCAGCCTTTGTCAGAGCCACAGTACCCTGAGTGGTCATTCTAGCCAACACTAATTTTTGATTTAGCAGATAAAGGGTCATTACCACATTGTCTAATAGACAGCACACATGTACATACATGCAATCCTAGGAGTACGACCTGTCCCAAGCTCTTGGAAGGCAAGGACCTGGGGACACCCAGGCATGGCCCGCTCAGTCTCCTGCTCCATGGCTCCTTCTCCAAGGGCTCGAGCCTCCCCCAGTTCGGACTGCTTTTGCTCTTCCAGCGATTCCAGGGATGGTGCTGACTGTCCCCGGGCTGGAGCCTTGCCATGGTGAGCATGGCTGATTGCCTGTCTGTCTGAGACTTGAGCCTGGTGGCTTTCAATTTTGGGAGCTTAATGTGGAGAAAACAGAATTGCTTTTGGTGAACCCTGCAGGGACGATTACCCTTATTGGCAGCAGGTCCAGGCAGCTCCCATCCTGAACTCTCTGAGGGCCACAGCCAATGGCCAGGGGCCAGGTCTAGGGTGCCTGCTCAGCCTCATCCCAATGTTCGAAGTCCCTGCACCTCAGTGCCTTCAGCTTTGAAGACGTGCCTGGCACACGGTTATTATGAGAAGGAAACAAAACTGTGAGACTAACTGTATATATGGTATTATGAAACGCATATACACAATACCTGGAATATGCAAAATGAATGTGAACGCTGTATACAGAATATACAAAGCGAATCACCAGGTGTGCCAGTCCTGTTATCCTGACACTTGGGAGGCTAAGGCAGGATAATTTCTATGAATTTGAGGCCAGTGTGGGCTATATAGTAAGACACTGTCTCTGAAAATAAAAGAATAAAATAAATAAATTTATATATGATGCTATTTGTTCACTGGAAGATAGACAGACAGATCTTTCTCACATCATAGTCACCTGCCAGGATATCATCTTTTTGGCTACTGGTTTTATTCTGGGTTTTTTTTGTTCTTTGTTTTTGAGATAGGGTCTCACTATATAGTGTAGGCAGGCTGGCCTTGAACTGGGGACAGTCCTCCTGCCTCAGCCTCCCAGAGCTGGGATTACAGATGTGCTCCACCATACCCAGCAGAATATCGCTTACAGCCTGTCAATGCTGACAGCCATGAAGAAGTCTGCACTAATCCACGTGTAGGAAGAGTATCCACTGAGCCAGAGTAAAAGTCTAACAAGCAGTGTGAGGCCCTAGCAGCACGCACGCTCCCTGTTCCCACCTTCTGTGCGCGCCGAAGCCTCCCCGAGGCCACTCTCCTGCCCAACCACCTGATCCTGGAGGAAGCAGGGTGGTTCCTTCCCACGGACACAGTCCTGCTCCTCTGTAGCTTCACGGCACCTCTTCTGTCCCTCCCTCTGAGGTTCCGTGGCTGTCAACCAGGTGGCCATGTGGACAGTGAGCAGGACCAGCCACACGTCCTTCCTCACCCACTCCCACTCTCCGCCTCAGGAGCCCGAGAATCATCACCTTAGGTGTCACCTGAACACCCAGGTCCTGCAGTTCTGCTCTACAGACGAGGAAGTCATCATCCTCTTCAAACTTCCTGTTTCAGCGTGATCCTGCTCTTGGCCCCAGACCTCCAGAGACAGAGAAATGTACTTCAGGGTGTCAGAGGGCAGCAAGGACAGGACTCAGACCTGCTGGGGTGCCAGAAACGGGCCGCCTGCATGGATGGCCACCCTGCTGCGCAGAAGACAGGTCTCCTGTTGCTTAATGGCAGTGAGACACACAGGAGCTGAAAAACTTAGAAGTGTCTTTTAATGTAAAACCAAGGTTTGACTTCACAATTATGGTGGGGGGGCAGTTCCCTCACATCCCTCCATGATGAGCTCCCTTTGCCGCATGGGTAAGGTTCCATTGCTAAGGAAACCAAACTTTAAACTTCAGAAGACGGCACCAGCAAGAGTTACCACCAGTGTACTCCACACCCACAAGAACCCACAAAGACGCCAGCAGGAGCAGCTGCCAGGCAGGCAGGGCCCACCGAGGAGCGCCAAGTGCTCGGTGAGAGGAGGCAAAAGCCCCAGGAGAAATGGAGCCCATAAACCAGGCAGTAAACCGCTCCTTCCTCCCTTCCCCAACTCCCCCAAGGGAATAAGCCACACGGAGATGGGACTCACGAGATGGGTCGGTCACCATCCAGGCCAGGTGGCCAACTCCGTGGTCGGGAGGACACTTCCAAAGTTTCAGGTGTGACAGACAAAAGAGAAGGAGGGAAGAAGGGGACTAAATTACAGATAGGAGCCGGAGAAACCACTGCAATTAAACGCAACCGGATCCTTCGGGGAGCTCTGGGAGCAGGAAAGGTATTCCCGGGAGCCAGGAGGGGTGAAGGAGTCTGTAGCTCCCTAAGTCCGTGCTGGCTGCTCAGCTTTGCTAAATGTGCTGCGGTACAACGATGTTAGGATGTTGGACAGGGCTGGATAGGACCTCGAAAGGGCTCCGCTGCCTTGCAAGCTTCTGGTAAATCTAAATGTACTTCAGAACAGTTTTCATGGAAGACCCTGTGTGTGGACGGGCAGGTAGGTGCACAAAGGAGCCTCGCCTCGGTTTGGCCGTACCAGGCTGTGAGGGTCAGGGCACCCCAGGTATGCTGGGCACTGGGGAATCGGGCTGGCCGTGACCACAGCGCAGGGGTGACAAGTGCTGGGCACCCTGAGGCAGACGCTGTCGGGGAGCCCAACCTGGCCTGGGCCCCCAAGCAAGGGTGCTCAGCTGGAACCCAAGGACTGACGGCTAGGCAGGAACAGTGGTAACAAGGACCCAAAGCAAAGGAGGGGCTGGAGGGCAGATGTGAGCGGATAGAACCAACGGAGACCCAGGCAGGTGCTGGGGTTCAGGGAGAGGGGCTGGGGAGCCTCAGGGACCCCAGCTTCACAGCGCTGCTTCGGTCCTGCTTTTTTTGATTGGTAGAAGTCCTGCTGTAAGTCAGTATGGTTCACGAGTGGGCGTGGGTCAAATTTCCTGTGACGCAGCACTGATGTTTGGCTTCCTCTCACCTCTGCAGTCAGTTCTTGTTCTGTGGGTAGAGGGCGAAGAGAGTCCGAAGGAAACAAGGTAACCTCACCAGGGCAGCAGTGCGCTCAAGGGGAGACTCTGCTGCTCCACGGCTTGGGCCGGACACTGCACATGCCCAGGGAGCTGCCCTCTTCCCCAGCACCCTGGCTTCAGCTTGTGAGTTAGGCCACATTGGCACTGGGCAAGTGTGAGCCAGGGAAAGTCTTATACCCAGCTCTGGACCACATGACACAAAGATGCAGGGCTGTCAAGAATCCTTCCTGATGGGACACCACACTGGCAGCCAGATCCAGGAACACGGTGGCAGCAGATCCCAGAAGCCCCAGAAACCACACAAGTCCTCAACCGGGTGTGATGGTACACGCCCGTCATTTCAGCACTCAGGAGGCTGAGGCAGGAGGATTGCTCCAAGTCTGAGTCCATTCGAGCTACATAGAGAGTTCAAGGCCAGCCCAAACTATACAGAGAGACCATGCCTCTGAAAGGAAAAAAAAACAAAAAAAAACAAAAAAAACAGCCAGTCCTGCAGCATAATTCGGGCCTCAGTTCTTCAGCCAGCCTCCTCAGCCCCTACGTGTTGACCTAATTCTCCATGGGTGACACAGCTCTCAATATTCGCTAAGTTTGAGTTTCAACTCAAAGCTATAAATCTTTGATTCCAGCAGAGTGGAGAGCAGACTTCTCTGCTGACCAAAGGAAGCCAGGCACCAGAAAAAGAAATAAATCTAAAACAAAATTAAAATGCGGCAGTGTTGCAGGCCCAGAGACCAAAACGACACTTTTCTCTAAAAGTATAGAACCAGGAGTCACTCAAACTGTCTGAGAAGAGACTGACAGCAAATGAAGGGGTGGCCACTCTGGGCCCCTTCAAAGGACAGTGAGCAAACCTGGTGAAGGAGCCCAGCACAGCCCCCATGGCCCCCCTCACAGAGGCAGCTCCTGTCTCACACAGCTGGGGGAGCGCGGTTCCCTTACCGGGATCCCCAGCACTGTTCCACTGTTAACCATAACACAGGGCAGCTCTTCCTCTCGCCATGGGCTCACTGACTGCCCCTCCCATGTGGAGAAATCCCGGGCCTCGGGGCCACTTTTTCAGTCTATGAATACAGGACACTTCTTGACCTTAATGTCCGGTTCAAGTTTTCAATGCCACAGTCCCAAAGTGACCCAACATTTCAGCCCCCATAAGCTTATATTTTGAAGTCAAGCCCTGATCCAGATGGGAATATGACTGCCACTCCATCTCAGGGTTTGGTTTTCTGCATCAGCCACCATAGTTCACAGTAGCGGATCCCTCAGCCCTCACTGTGCCTACACAGGCTTTTCCAGCACTGTCCTCTGCCCTGAACCATGATGCTCTGGGCCATCCCCCCCCCCCTTAGCCTCTGCTCCCCTGGCCCTATGTTTTCCTATCAAGATGGTCTCATATTTGTGACTCTGTAGGCAGCTCAGGGGGTCCCCTTGCTGCCTGGCTCTCAGGCCCTGCAGTGCCTGGACACCACAGTCCCACACTCCACCTCTTGGCAGAGTCAGCTCCTGGCTCACACAGCTGAGATTTGCAGCTCTTACTTAGCCAGACATCTCTGGAAAGAAACAGAAGTTGCTACAGAGCCCCGCACTGCAGGGGGATCTCACCAAGCACAGGCCACCAGGTGACTCTGCTCAATTGTGTAACCTGAGTCCACGGCCAGAGCCCAAGCACCACCCCAGCCGTCCACTTCTGGATGACCTGTCCAGCAAACACACCCAGGACTGTGCATATGGTGCGTGGTGGAGAACAACTCTCCTCACTGGGCCACAACAGCAGAAGGAGATTAGTAACTGACCACATGGATTCAGCTCCCAGAGACGGTGCAATAGGAAATGTGTCTCCAAGGTGCGGCTTCTAAGTTTCAGTGTGATTCCATTTCCATCAGGGAGAAAGACAGGCAGACAGACAGACCGACAGAGAGAATAAGGACACATATAAGAGGCACGTTTCTAGATAGACAGCAGCAGTCACTCTGCAGAGAGGCTAGAGGACAGACAAGGATGGAGACCTTTCCATGGCTGCTCCTGCAAGTGTCCTGGCTCTCTTCAGAAGAGCAGCGATGGCCTTCCGAAAGCACGGGTTCCCTTCAAAGCATAAGACTGGGGAGCACTCCAAAAAAGTAATAAGAACTGTGGGAGCAACAAAACCCAAAATATGTAATTGCCATTGTACAAAAGAGAGGAAAAGAAAGTGCTCTAAACGATATAACTGCATGTATATTTAAGTGTATAAGATAGATAATGATATCGCTGAGTTTTATTGGATCATTGAACAGAACTGTTTGCAGTCTCACTGTTGGAATGTCCACTTTATAAGCTTTAATTTTGTAACTTGAACAACTATTTCTAAGATGACAATATGTAATCCATTAACTAGTGATTTCCTACTGTTTATTTTTTTCTGTAAATCTGTATAACTTGTACCCTTTCTCTGGTTTGTTTTTTTTGTTTTGTTTTTTTTTTGTTTGTTTGTTTGTTTTTTCTCGTTAAATAAATTTAAAAAAAAAAAAAAAAGACTGGGGAGCAGAGGAGCCGGCCTGGCCCTCTCCGAGTGCCTGTCTGTGACTCCCAGTTAGCCAGCCTGAAGGGACCTGACACTCCTGCTTCAGCCCAAACCTCCACCAGAGGAGAGGCCGAGGGCTTTGTCCAGAGGATGCCCTTTGGGAGATGACCCTGGCCTGGGGGTCCCGGCAAGCTGTGTCTGTATCTATGTCTGTGTCTATGTCTGCATCGGTATATCTATCTACACCATCTACATCTACTTGCGGGGGGGGGGGGGAGAGAAAGACAGACAGAGAAGGAGAAGGGTGGGAGACAGACAGACAGACAGAGGGGGGGAGAGAGAGAGAGACAGACAGAGAGGGAGAGAGAGAGCCAAAACATGAACACGCACTACAGGAAAAGGAAGACAGTATGATGTTTAACAGGTGCTGTCACCCTCATACAAGGGACCCTAGAGGATGTCCTGTGTCACAGAAAGCCCACCACACACGGCCGGTCCTTAGAGAAGAAACTGGAAGGTCACATGCAGCAATCTCAGTGCCTAAGGTCAGCCGAGCAGCTGTTTGTGCACTAATAAACATCTGGAAGCCAAGAGCCAACATTTCGAGCACCTCTTGTCACTGTAAAGGCCAGAGGTAACCTCTGTCCATCCCATGACGTGGCCATAGACCTGGTATTAAAATACTTCCCGAAGCGCGTGCACATTTTTCAGCGAACTCTATGTATATAAAGTACTAAGAACTGTGTGATCCATACCAGTGTCCCCCGAATTTAGATGTATTTATTTACCTTTTGCTTTATTATCAAACAAGAGTACTAAGATCTTTGTGATTCATGAGTTCTTTTCTGGAGTCCACACAACTCCCTTGTAATTTTGAAAGTAGGCTGGGGATTTAGCTCAGCGGTATAAGAGCCTGCCTTGCAAGCAGGCAGTCGTGAGTTTGATCCCCGGTTCCGGTAAAAAGGAAAAAAAAAAAAAAAAAAGAATTTTGAAAATAATTTGAGCCCAAAAGAGTAAATCTGCTGCCCCCATTTTTTAAGTACTGGAAAGTAAGCACCCCCAAATCTGGGAAAGTATGTTTTTTACTGTTGCAAGACATTTTTCTACTGGGGAGGTTAAATTATACTTATTTTGTTTTTTATTGTTGTTCTTTAGACAAGTCGCTCTGTAATTTAGGCTGGCCTCAAACTCACTATATAGTGCAGGCTGGCCTCAAACTTGTGGCGATCCTCCTGCCTCTGCCTCCCCAGTGCTGAGATTGCAGGTGTGCCTGTGGGTGTGAAGAGTTTGAGCAGGAGGCCTTCAGGATGAGAAGCAGCAGGATCACAGTCAACTGGAACCTGCCCAACGATCTTTGTCCCAGCAGCCACCGTGATGCAGCCACGGAGCGCACTCCAAATACTCCAGCAGAGAGCTGCAGAGAGCGTCCTGGGAGGAGCAGGGAAGCTGGACGCATGCGACCCCGCCTTTCCTGTCAGACTCTTGGCTTTGTGACTCTCTTGGAAAGGCATAATCGAAGAGTCCTGAAACAGTCAGGACCCACCCGCCACCAGTGAGCTGCACCGCTGTCGCTGGAGTTCTTGGTGCCTTCGGTGCACACAGCAGGGAGTCGCCCACGTTATGAACAAGTTCACAGCTACGGTTAAGTTTTAAACTAAAGGCAAAATAGGAAAATAGCCTGGGGAGATGCGTGCAGCGCCTGTGTGCCCAGCAAGCGCCCCATCCACCTCTTCACAGACACACTGAGCTGCACACGCCCACCCTCTGCTTCCAGGAGCCAGCAGGCCTGATGCTCACACGGATGTGTGAGGTATCGCGCTCAGGCAGGACTCAGCATCCTCTGGGTCTTCCCCTGCATCATTTCCTGATAGATGACAGCTATGGATAGACAGGTAGAAATATGTGATATAGATAGATAGATAGGATTGACTTGATAGATGTGGATAGACAGGTAGAGATGGGTGATAGAGATGATAGAAAGACAGGGGTTGATTGATAGATGATAAATAGACTCAGATGATTCGTAGATAGTAGAGACAGACAACAGATGTGATAGATGATCTGTATGGATAGATGACTGATAGATGACACAGAAGATAAGTAGACACTGACAGATGATAGATGATCCATAAGACAATTGATCGATGATAGAGATGGATGACATAGTTGATAGAAGAGAGCTATAGACAGATGATACTTGATCCGTATAGATAGGTGATTGATAGATAATAAAGATGATAGGCAGATATAGACAAACGATGCATGACAGAGAGAGATCGATGACTGACAGCTGACAGAGATACTATTAAGTAGACAGTGTAAATGATGGGCCGATGAGTAGAGCCCCATTTTCCTGGCTCATCTATTGACCTGCATGTGCTGGTCCCACGCCCTGACTCTGGTGGTTCCCTTCCCTCTGTACAAGCACCAGCAGTGGCCAGCTGGCCCCAGGGCCCCGAGCTCAGTGTCTGCAGGAGCGTGTGCTGCTGTTCCCAGTACTGCACTGCAGCCCTGCTGGCCCGGCAGGATGGGTATAGGGTTCCTTGTCCACTGACAGAGTGAGATCACGCCGCTGTGATCTGCTCTGCCCTTACCCTGTGGTCTGTGGTGCTGAACAGCCTCTCCTCCGCCTACTGGCCGGCAGAATACTCCTGGAGAATGGTTGTTTACTTGTGGTGCCAAGGAGCAAACCCCAGCCTTGTGCCTGCCAGACAGCGCTCCATCACTGAGCGTTGTGTCAGCCACGGCTGTCAGTTCTAATCAGGACCCGATTAGAACAGGCTGTCTCTATGCAGTCCAACCTGGTCTGGGGCCCATAGTGACCTGGGACTCCTGATCGTCCTGCCTCAGCCTCCTGAGTGCTGGGACTACAGGGATGTGCCACCATACCCAGCTTTACTTTTTAAGAGCAAATATATAAACTGGCTATTAAATATATTTTAAAGGGTAAAGCTTCATTAATAAATAAATGCAAATTAAAATATCATTTCACCTATGAAATTGGCAAAGGTAAGTGTTAATGTTGTTATTCAATGCCTGCGGCTATATAGGGAAATATACACTCTCACAATTTGCTGTAGAATTATGACCCCAGACCTTTCTAGAATAACATAAAGCCAGGAGCTGTGGTGCACACCTGGAATCCCAGCTTCTTAGGTACTGAGGCAAGGACTTGCTTGAGCCCAGGAGTTCAAGGGCAACACAGTGTGACCTCATCTCAAGAAAATGAGTGAAGGGGCTGGGGATTTAGCTCAGCAGCGTAAGCGCCTGCCTTCAAGCAGGCAGTCGTGAGTTCAATCCCTGGTACCGATAAAAATGAAAAAGACAAAAAAAAAAAAAAGAAATTTAGCAAATCAATATAGAAAATTAAAAAAAAAAAAAAAAGAAAATGAGTGAATTAAAATACAGAGATGTTCAAGTCATTTGTTTTACTTTCTGGGATGTATTACACAACTCACCCGAGGCAGCAGTAGGAACACTGTTCACAGTCCCATACAAGGAGAATTTGGAAAGATCCTGACACTAGAGAACGGGCTTGGTGAGCTGTGACTGATGATGGCAAGGTACAGGGCAGGTAGCAATTCATCTTCTGATTGGGAAAAGAAGGCTGTTCAACAATGTGGCCCATGTATATGCAGACATGCACTAAGTGTGTCAGTGCATATATGGCCCATGTGTGTGTGTAAGTATGTAAAGCGCATGGTGCATACGTGGCCCATGTGTATGCATGTGTGAAGCACGTGGTGCATATGTGCCCATGTGTAAGTGTGTGTGAAGTGCATGGTGTGTACATAGCCCATGTGTATGCATAAGTGTGCAAAGTGCATGGTGCGTA